ATATATAATTTAAGTCTTCATTAGTTCAAAGCATAAATTAGGTCAACATAAAGCATCACTTACTACCTCGAATTAGACACATGCCTAAGAGAAAAGTTCAATATTGCTTTGACATGTCACAATATACGTAATTTTTTTTTTTATATTCAAAGTTACATTAAAATTGCACCATTATCAAATTACTTGTGTGCAAATGATTTTTTTTTTCTTCATTATTTTTGTACTACCATTTTCTTAATTTAATTAATATTTTTTGCCTAACGTTTGCATGTTGACTTGTAGTTTAAGTGACATCAACATCATTTATATCTATTAAATGTATAAATTTAATGTTTCCTTCATAACTCTTCTTTGATTTTATGCCATTTATATCCATTAAATGCATAAATTTGATGTTTCATTATAACACTTCTTTGATTTCTTTCATAAAATCAAGAAAACTTAAAAGATAAATGGAGATATACTTGTTAAAATCATGGATTTTATAAAATAAAAATATATAAAAAAATAAAGTTTATTTTTATACATGATTAAAATACAAAATATTTTTACAAATATTTAATACAAATTTATCTAATCATCATACTATATTAATAAATATGGAGATGTGGAAAAATTATTAAATCTTACTCCATTCAATTATGAATATAAACAAAAATAAATCATGTGTGTTGGTCTCAAATATAAATAAAAATTAAATATAAGTAAATCTTAAATTTAAAATTAAATTTTTTAGTCATTATAATTTGAAAAAAATTTATTCTAATCTCTATGCTAAAATGTTATCGGTGAATTTGTCAAATAAAATTCACTTATTACTAATCGATCGTGCAAGATTAGTTACTAGTATCATTGTTAGTAAAATATTACATTTAATTCAATTGATATTGTATAATTTTGTCATCTATCATTAACAGATGTGTTACTAGTATATAATTGAGGAATTAAATTAAAATTTTTAAAAATTATAAAACTAAAAAATCATTTTAAATTTAAAGGATCAAAACCAAATTTATCTTAAACTTAAAAGACTAAAAACATATTTAAGAAACTAATTTTTATACTTGATAAAAGAGGGACAAGACTAATTATCTGATTTCAAGTCCTCATTAAAAGAAATAAAAAGATATCAATCAGATAGACTTTCTTAACAAATTCTTTGTTTCATGTTAGTTTGTGTCAAAATGACTTTAGTTTGAAAGCTTAAACTTAGCTTTCAAAGGCATGAATCATGAATATTAATATTAATCTAAACAATAATAATCGCTCTTTATTTAAATGACGAGGGGATTAATATCCATCTTCAACTTTGAGTTCTCAACCCTCCAATGTACAACTTTAATATACTAATATTTCCATTGAAAGCAAAAACATGGTCCATCTTGTTTATATATAAACCAAAACATTGGTTTTTGCAAGTATGCCATCCCGAACCATTACATACATAGTTTTAAAAACCGGACCGGTCATTGAACCGGTTAAGGTACTGGGTTAGTGGGTCAAAAGTTGAATCAGTGGGTCATAGTTGAACCGCATGACTCGATTTTTATTAAAAAAAATTCATATTAAATATATTTAATACTTATAAATTTTAATAAATTCATATCTTATTTTAAATTTCAATTTTTCTATCTTATTTAAAAAAAATTTATTTTTATTTTGTAAAAAAATACATAAAAAATTACATGTTAAACGGTATATTAATACAAATTAAAAATATAAATAATATGTACATATATAATATGCTTGCAATTAATATCACAAAATAATATATGTAATATTTACATAGATATTATATTATTAAATATATAATTTAAAATTAATAATACACTATAAAAGTTATTTAAGTTGTATATATTGCAAACAAATATATTAGAACAAGTAGTCATTGTTATATTTAATAAGACTCCTTGCTTTTTATTAAGAGATTCAATTTTCATTATTATTTTTGTAGTTTATGGTCCCTTAAAAAAATTAAAAAAAAAAAAAAGTGGTTGAACCGGTTTGACCCACCGGTTCACCGGTTGAACCGAAAATTTGACCGGTTCAATCCGGTTTAAAACGGGTCGACTGCATAACCAGTTCAACTTAAAATTCGGACCGGCTGGACCACCGGTTCCCGGTCCACCCGGTCCGACCGGCCGGTTCGGTCCGAGTTTTAAATCACTGATTACATACATATCAAACGAATGATACACATGCACCTTGCCATATTGAAAGTAACAATAGAATGGTTCTGTTCCAAATTCATTATGAGAAGCATAATTCCCCTTAGAATAATAATTAGAATAATTTCATTCATATATAGCTAGTGAGCACCAGGATGGAGAATATGCGCGTCACTATCGATATTGCAGTAAATGGTTAGGTCCAGATTTCTATCCAAAGAATTTGTGACCCTTCACTGCCATAACATTGTTTACTGACGATAATAACAATGTAATTAATTAACCACAGTATATGAAAACACTTCTACTAAAAAAAGACATTAATTGTGCCTTCTGCCTTTTTTTTGTGTGTGAATCTTTTCGATCATATGCATATTGAAGGAGAAATGTATAATATTTATATAGGATTTTAGTATTATAATATATAAATATTAAGCAAAACATATTTAAAATTAACTTAATTCTTAAAAAAAAAGGCTTTAGAGACCAAAAATCAGTCACAAATTTATCAAATTTGGTGACTAATTATGTTTGCGACCGATTTAGCAACATTGGTAAATGATATCTAAAACCTGGCTAATTGATTAGCGAGTCAAATTATATATTAGTCGCTAAAGTTTTTATTTTGTGGCCAAACATTTTGATGGCTAAATTAGCTTTGATTCATTCATTTATTATTAGGTGAAAACAAATGCACTTTTTGGTCACTATGAGTTTATGTTCTCGTTTTAAAAAGGTTTGAAATCTAAAACTAATATGTATATTGTTTGAGAATCATCACAATCCTCCACAACATTTATTGAAATCTTGAACTTCAACATTTATTTTAATGTTTGACTTGCAAAATGAAAGAAAAAAAAAAGGAAAAAGAAATAAAGCACACTACTTGGAGTTAAGCCACTACTTTTCTCACTTCTCATTAAAAACAAAACTTTCATACAAAAATCAATAAACATTTACATGATCATGCAAAATAAAAATTGCACAAAATAGTGAACTTGCGACTTCGTGGTTGTCCACTCAAAAGAAAAAAGAGACTTGTGTAGACTTGGATGATAGTTATAATATTGTTGTCTATTGCTCAATGACTTTCCATAAAGTTTCCGTAGCAAAAAAAATCCTTTTTTTATAGGTCTCTTTTTATAGATAAAAAATGTCTCAACTACTTATCCATGATATATATTCCCTATTTTTTAGTTGTGCAACAGTTATAGTCACTTCATCCACTTTGTAACTACTTAAACTTATCCAATATTGATTGAGCCAAATTTATCAAATATTTACTAAGTCAAACACTTCAATTTTTTCTTTTTTATTTTTAATAAAAATATGATAAAATTTGTTATTTACAGCTCTAGATGACTTCACCATTCTCCTATTTTCCAGCATGAATCCGAGAAGACAGAAACATGTATATGGTTGCATTTTTTTTTCAGCCAAAGAAAACATAATATTATAGTTGGTATATGGTTGTACCTGTTTTGCTTATACGAAGAAGACACATATTTTCACAAGTGAGGACACTTGTTATAACCATTAAATGTAGCAAAGTCTCCAAATGTAGTTGCATCAATGTATGTTAGGAGCTCGAAATTTTCAGCGACTTTTTTTCCTTATATTGAAGATATATCGAAATTTACTAGAAATTTATTATCCATGTAATACTTGCCTGCAGATTAAAATCTGTACGTAAATAAATTCATACGTAATAAAAATTCTATAGTAGAGTATTATAATTCAAAAATAAATATTTTGTTTTATTTTTCTGGACGTCTGCATGTTGAATTTTTCGTTGCTTGATGTCACCTTGGCAATCAATGATATCGGCAACATTTATATATCCAATAAATGCACACTAAAATTTTCAAGTTTCCATTGTAACACATTTTTTTGGCCTTTTCTATAAAAATAAGAACACGTGTTAAGATAAACTGAGATAGAGTCATTACAAACATGAAATTTTACATGTATTGTATATTTTAGGTACACAAAAAGAAAACGTAAATGCATTATGCATATTTTATTGTTAGATATAATTTTGTTGAACTATACTAATAGTTTAATATATTATTTTTACATTTTTATCTATAATGCATTGTTTAATAATTAACCATGCATTCTTATTATTATTATTATTTATATAATAATTAGTTTAAAACTTATATTATAATTTTTTTAATTAGTTAATAATATTAAACTTGATACATTAACGAAATATTAAAATTAAACTCATATATATATATATATATATATAGAGATTTGGTATAAAATTATACGTTACCCACATATTAAAATTTTATGCATACAAGATAAATTCAAGGATAAGATTATTAAAACTCAAACTTTAAGGTCCACTAACAACATATATTAATAATTGTTAAATATCTTAATTAGCTACATGTTTACAAGAATATTAGAATATGTTTGATTTGAAAAGTATTATCCAATTTTATTTTGTTTTTATAAGTAATGAAAAAAATGTAACCTTTTTATTTTTAAATAATTTGTTGATAATGGAAAAAGGTGCATGACCAATTCCATGTCTGGTTAGAAAAGAAATGAAGTCGACTAGCTACTCGAACTTTGATTTCTCTTTCTCATGAAATTTTCCTTCTTCCTTAATATCACGAAACATACTCAATTTTATATTCAAATCAAAAGAAATTAATCACTAATTAACCAACAGAAAACACGAACTCAACCTTGAAAGCCATGAAGAATTAATAACCCAAACAGTGATCGATGACTCTTTATTCAGATGGTATCTGGCTACAATTAACGTTTGAGTTGTGAACCCTCAACATGTAAGAATTAATTAAGATAAAATATATGCTAATTATTCCATTTAGAGCAAAGAAAAGAAGTGGCAGCACCATCATAATACCACCTACATGGTCCACTTTGTTTTACAAACCAACGGCACTGTGGATAGCAATCAAAATCCCACACAGGATCGAACATATTGAACGAGTGAAGGGAACCTTGCCATTGAAAGGAACAAAGGAATGGTAGTTTGGCTGGTGAAACACCACCAGTATATATCCATTCAAAGACCAAATCAGGCTTGATAAGGCGATGTGCAGCTTCAATATTGTTGCAACTAACGGTTAAGTCCAAATTTCCAGCCAAAGCATTTCTGACCACAATTCTGAGTTCTTTCACCACCGCAGCATTGTTTGTCCATAATAGAAAAAGCATAAGCACCCACACCATGGAAACCCTTCTAGCAAATAAAGACATCGTTACACCTTTTGTCAAATCCTCTGTTCTTTCATATACACGTAAGAGAAATATATATATATTTGTGAGAGGGTTTTATAGTTGAAATATATAAATATGATCACTAGTGTAAAAATAAAATATCCTAATTATACACTTTGTGTCAAGTGTTATCCAGACAACATAAAAAATGACATGGTTATATTTGTAAATTTGTCAAAATATTCTATGATAGATGTCGACTTACTTATCATATAATGTTTTTTATGACAGGTAAGTCAACACCTATCATAAAAAGTGTTGTTCAATCTTTGATTCTAACATTTTTATGATGGATGTTGACTTACTTGTTATAGAAAAAAAAAATCTATGATAAGTAAATGTCACTCATTATAAAATGTCTTCTTATTACTTACACTGAAAGATCAAATCTAGTTTGCGTTTCATTATTTCATCTTTCTTTATTCAGGTGACAAAGACGATCTTGATAACAAGTATTTGTTCACTATTCTGATTTTATATGGAATAGAAATATATTATTTTAATCGATATTTTTTATTAGTACATCTTTGTATATAGTAGTTTTCTTTTAAGAGTACACTTTTTTCTTGGTGTAATATCCCAAAATTTTATTCAAATGAAAAGAGTTATTTATTATGTGAATAAGTATATTATTTCCGTATTTTACTATTCATGTATATGTATTTTACTATTTACATATACGTATTTTACTATTTATGTATACGTATTTTACTATTTACGTATACGTATTTATGAATAGTGTTTTACTATGTATGCATAGTGAAAGGCTGCGTTTTCGGGGGCTGCGGACGTTTGAAGTTTCAAAATTATAATTAATTTGAATATAATAATGAATAGTGCATAGTGCATAGTAACTTATAATATTATTTTAATGAATAGTGCATAGTGCATAGTAACTTCATAAATTCTATAAATAGGGACCTAAGGATTTTGAAAATTCATAACTAGGGAGAAGAAAAGTTTAGAGAGAAGGAATTCTAGAGAGATAGAAAGAGAAAATAAGAGAGAAGGTTCTGCCTAGGTTGTGAAAAGAGGAGGAGAATAGAGAAGGTTCTGCTCTAGTTCCGGTTCCGGTTTAAGGAGAAAGAGAGGAGATTCTGCCCAAATTCCTATTTAT